CATTCAGGTTTGTGGATTTTGGGAAGGAGATAGAAGCGGGCGGTACGAGTTTGAGGAACGATGAGGTTGGAGGCCGTGGGTGGGAGGTCACCTGAGGTGATGAGGTTGTGGATGGTTTGGGAGATGATGGTCTGGTGCTCAGGGGTGCGGTCATGATCAAGGGGGCGGTAGGAGGAGGTGTCGGAGGGTTGGCGTCTGGCCTCGGTGATGTAGAGGTCAGTGCGCCATACTACAACTGCGCCTCCCTTGTCCGTGGGTTTGATGGTGAGGTTGGGATTGGAGCGGAGGGCTGCACGTTCTGCGGGGGAGAGGTTGGAGTGGGTGAGAGGGGTGGAGAGGTTGAGGCGATTGATGTCTCGATGGCAGTTGGAGATGAAGAGGTCGAGGGAGGGTAGGAGGCTGGCAATTGATGTCTCAGTGACTTCTTCTCCCTGCTATTCCTAATTTCCACCCAAATGGATTCAACATTTTGTTCAGTAGAACCTATATCATCTCTCACTACTGCCCTGATATCATTCTTAAAAATCAGAGCAACAACACCTCCCTTACCTTCCTGTCTGTTCTTCCAAACAGTTTGATACCCCTGGATATTTAACTCCTAGTCATGACCATCCTGTAACCATGTCTCTGTAATGGCCACTCAATCATATCCATTTGCCATGATTTGCGCTGTCAACTCATCCACCTTGTTTCGAATGCACCGAGCATTCAGATAAAGTGCCCTTATGCCATTTTTTGCACCTTCTTTTTGGGTCCTATTACCTCCATTACTAACAGCTCTTGAGTTCTCCTTCCCTTTAACTTTTTTCCTAATTTTCATAATCTCTGATTAAATGGATCCATCTGTCATTGAATGACCACTGTAGGTGTAAGTCTTCTCCCTGTTCTTCCGAATCTATTCAGCTCTTTACTTACTGCCCCTATGTGCATCACTGGTTGAGGCGCCAACTGTGATTAAGGGTATTCCTGAAGGTTCGAATATAAGAAATAGGGCAGTAGTAGGCCATTTGACCCCTCAAACCTGACCTACCATTCAACAAGATCATAGCTCGTCTTCCCCAAGCCTCAAACCCTCTTTTGTGCCAGTTCCTCATATCCCTGAACTCCCTGACATTTCAAAAATGTATCTATCGTCCCTGTAAATACTTTCAGTGATCTAGCTTCCACTACTTTCTATGGTAGAGAATTCCAGACATTGAAGAAATTTCCTTTGCATCTCAGTTGTAAGTGCATGTCCCTTATTCTGTAACAGTTCGAGACATAATTTGATCACATGACTTGTCCCTCATGCTCCATCATTAGTTGCTAACAGTCAATCAGTCATTTTCTCCCAATTTCAATATTCTTATATCAGGTGAACAGAAATGATTTAAAAAAATGAAATAAAGATACTATCTTCAAACTAATCTGGTGAATTTTCTCCTGCACACAGAATGTCTTGGCTATCAATCTTCAATTCCTGGTTCAAATCCAGAACATTCCAGGAGCACTGGCAACCTGATAGGTGCAGACTTGATGATCTGAATGGTGCCTTTCTGCACTGTAGGGATTTGATGTAGTCAGGATGGTGAGCGGCTTGGAGGGGAACTTCCAGGTGGTGGTGCTGCCCTTGTCCTTCTAGATGGTAGTGCTTGTGGGTCTGGAAGGTGCTGTCTAAAAATCCTTTAGTGAATTTCTGCAGTGCATCTTGTAGACAGTAGAATCCCTACAGTGTGGAAACAGGCCCTTCGGCCCAACAAGTCCACACCGACCCTTACAGCATCCCACCTAGACCCATCCCCCTGTAACCCACTCACCCCACGGGCAACTTAGCACGGCCAATCCACATAGCCTGCACATCTTTGGACTGTGGGAGGAAACCGGAGCACCCAGAGGAAACCCACGCAGATACGGGGAGAACGTGCAAACTCCTCACAGATAGTCACCCGAGGCTGGAATTGAACCTGGGTCCCTGGCGCTGTGAGGCTGCAGTGCTAACCATTGAGCCACCATGCCACCGAGTACACATCACTGCTGCAGAGTGTTGGTCGTGGATGTTTGTGGATGTGGTCCAATCAAGTGGCGTGCTTTGTCCTGGATGGTGTCAAGATCCTTGAGTGTTGTTGGGGCTAGTGGGGAATATTCCATCACACTCCTGACTTGCGCCTTATAGATGGTGGACAGGCTGTGAGGAGTCAGGAGGTGAGTTACTCACTGCAGTATTCCTAGTGTCTTACCTGCTGTTGTAGCCACGTATTTATGTGGTGAGTCCAGTTGAGTTTCTAGTCAATGATAACCCCAAATGTTGAAAGAGTTTGATGTTTATTAAAATAGGCTTGAAACCTGCTGATATTTCTTGTGTCCTTCACCCACTAAACTGTTACTGCACTGCTTTTCTTAGTCTTTTCAGTGCTCCTGTTCATTTCTACCTACATTTCTGTGAGTTCACACGTAACCAATATTATTATATGACTAATCTATTTTTTCTGGAAATTATGAAAAATGCAGCCTTTCAGAAAGTCAGCCTGAAGGTGGGTTTGGGGAGAAATGTCCCGGAACCTTGTGTCCAGGAACGCGTTCTCCCACCGGATGTTTCTCTCCGCGCGGTTTTTGCGGCCGGACCTGGTGCCCCGCAGTAAGATGGCGGCCGAGGGGGACTTCCTGCTTCGATATCGAGCGGTTTCTAACAAATTGAAAAGGTGAAGGTGGCAGGAGAGAGCGGGGATGGTGGGGGAAAAGGTGGGTGTTGTTCA